TATATATATATATATGTACAAGCTGCTAAAACCGCAACTTTCCAAAGTGCCCCTTTTTTTTAATCTTCCCGATGTTGAATATTCTTTTTCCAAGGAACTTTTATTTCTCTAACGGATATGCGCCAGGTTACTTAGGGAAAAGTATGTTACGCACAACCTCGAGACGTTAACGCGACGTGCAAGAGGAAAGCCGAAGGTGGAGAGGCGGTCCCTTTGCGGGGAGAACTTTGGTTTTGCCTTTTTTGTATCGCGATGAAAAGCAGGTTGGCGCGATAGGTGCAGGAGCCGAAACGTTATTCATCCGGGTCTCTTTAAAAAGTCGTTTCTCTGAACGTCTATCTCCGCTATCGTGGATATATGCGCGCGAACCTCTGTACATTCTGCATCAAGCTTGCATGAAGCTCGATGCCGACTTTTATGCGTATTTCTCTCGTGACCAGCGCTGTACATCGGTTGCTGGGCATAGCCCAGAGTGGTCAATTTTGAGAAGTAACAAATTTTCGAAAGAATTTTTTTAGTTAAGCATTGAAATAATGATCCATAAATGATTTAAAATCACTAGACAAGATAATTCATAGTGAAGTGCAATGTATAATACATGAAGAAAGATTAAATGTGCTTTCTGTTCTTATTGTGAGAAATATACTTATTATTTTATCAATTTGTGTACTCTTGTTGTATGTTTTTTTTTTTGCTATTTTTGTCCTTCGAGTAAATAAAATATTTTTTGAAGATTTCGAAAAAAATTTATTTTTTAATTAATCTAATATAATTACTAAAAAAATTTATCCAGGTGACATTACATTTTAAAAGAACGCTCAAAATATTTCGTATGTGCAAGATGGGTTAATGTGGCCCTGCTCGTAACAACGATCTGTCGAGATGCAAATGCTCGGTCGGTCGGCTGGTTGGCTAGTCGGCTGGTCAGTTCGCGAAATCTGACGACTTCTATTCATCCGCGATTTCATGTTGAAATAGTGCCGACCCCTCTCTTAAAGCCTCCGCGCTCGACGCTGGAGAAGCTCGAAGTTGGTCGGATGGAAAACTTGAAATGCCTTAACAAGCGCGGGTGACACAGATTCGCGCGAACGTGCCGCTTTTGAATTGCGTTCTCCGCGATGGTTCTTGTACACGCTTCCTATTACGATATTGTTAATAGAAATTACAGCCAGAATCGCGGCGATGTTCGAGAACGTACCGGAAAATAATAAGCGTTTGCATTGCATTCTAAAATTATTAGACTGTATCCTCGAAAATATATTTTTGTTTGCTCTATGTTTATATATTTGGCAGTGTCATGGGAAATATTATTTATAAAACACATATTCTCGAAGTTGATGAAAAAATATAAACTTAGTAATTTCTTATGAAAGAATATTTCGAAAACATAGAAGGTGCAAAACAGTACTACTAATAAGAAATATTATTCAAGTGTCCTACGCCAATTTGTGTGTTTTTTCTTAAAAAAATCTTATCATAAGATTTTCCAAAATTGACGCAACATAGAACGTGTTAATAAGATTTTTATTGATATATTTCATGTCGCGCCAATTTTAACTGGTTGTAAGTGATTGAGCGCCTAATTATAAATGATTACGCTGCATGGATATCATATTTTTGTTTGTGTTTGTTATATTTGTTAAATAATTTATATTTCATAATGATTAAAAATAATTATATTAACAATAATAAACAATTATTTATTAAAATTATTATTATAATAGTTTATTATACCATTAATGCATCATATATTATAATTAAAATCCCATGTATATAACATCAAAAATTACTTAACTACATTTCTTTTTATACAGTTACAATATCAAACGGCCTGAAAGTCCAGCGTGGATCATTGATGACTGATATGTCGCATCAGTTATCGATGATTCACGCTGAAACGTGTTAAATATTATAAAATATAAGAAACACATTTTTTTATACTTATTCAATCTCAAAAGATATCTCACGGGATAAAACATCTCTAAAAAGTTTTATGGCTAAAATCCTTTCTAGGTAAAATCTCCGAACTATATATTGTATCGAAAAATATTTTTGATAAAATTGATTCAATTTTTATTATAAAATTAAATTGCGCAATAATAAAATTGTATTTATTGATCTTTTTTTTATAAAATTCCTCAGTTTCCAATCAATTTTTGCAAAGCTTATTATTATTATTTAATTTTACAATAAAAAGCAAATAAACGTTATTTAAAATAGTTTTTTCGATACACTTTTAAAAGATGTTTTATCCTTTAAATTTGAAATTGGGCACGTATAAAAAAACTATATATACAAAATAAAAAAATTTCGTAGATTTGTACCTCTGTAATTTAAAATAAAAAAATCTCTTAGATGTTTACATAAAAAAAAAGGACAAATTGACGTTGAACATTTGGATAATAATCTTTGTAAAAGATTGTACACAAGCACAATGTTCAGTTGTATAATGTCAAAAAATTTCTGTGGTCCAACTCAAACAGAGAGCATGATGCGCGGATCCGATCGCACAAACTGGCTACTCGATCTAATTAATCAGCGACCCGTTCGTCCGCCACAAGTACACTGCGCTTCATCATTCAAAAGTACCTCTCAATACAAAGCGAGCAGTAAGGGCGGACGATCGATTTATATTTCGTGCAACGAAATTGAAATGAAGCGGTTAATTAATTAATGGCTTAGTATCTCTACGAAGTCCTTCCATTGAAATTCATAAAGCAATTTCGAAATTAAGTCGCGAATCCCTTCATTTCTTTACATTCGAAAAGGTTTCCCCTCATTAGTGCAAAATTCCTAATATGGCAGATGCGTGTAATTTTTGTAAAAATACTTTACGATATTATATTACAATATACATTGTAAAAAGTTTCATGTAAAATTACAAATTACAAATTATAGCAGGTAATTTTGAATGTCACTATTAAAGATGTATATATTTACACGTAAATAAAGTTGCAACTTACAAATACAATTATTGCTTTTTATAATTAAATACACGTAAATAAAGTTGTAATTTACAAATTCAATAATTGCTTTTTATAATTAAATAATTTAATAATTTAACAATTAAATAATTAAACAATTTGCAAAAGTAAGTTTGCAATTAAAATTAAGTTTATAGAAATATTTACGTAATGATTCGCTAATAAATTACGTATAATTTTTCTTAAACGTATATAATGACTGCGATCACATTCACGTTTACAACACTTATGGAATCATTTCATCCTTGTTGTTTATCAAAATTAAGAAAGGACAAATAATGCTCATGCGCGTTAAGAACATGAATCGCAGCTAATATGTCGATATATACAAATGTAAAAATAAAAATATATATAATATTACTATTACATTATACACAATATTACAACAATCTGTACAATTACACAAAAAATATAAAATATATTAAATTATTATATTGTTATATTGTTATTTTCATCTAATATAAAGATACACTTATACAATTAAACCGAAGTACACAATGCAATTTTTCATGCTAGATCGCATGCGACGTAAATTACTAGACTAGAAATTCTGCGTTCTATGTGGTGCAATTCTAGTAATTTACTAAATCGCGTGCAATCTAGCACGAAAAATCGCATTAATTAATGTACCTCGAGTTTTAGAAATAAAAATACCAATTTTTGTAAAAATGCACAATTTTATGTATTGTATTTCTACTATAAACTGTGTAATTTTTATATATATTATTTATGTAATTTTACATACTTTTTTTATAGTGATACCACAAAATCTTGCACACTAATTTCGTTGCACGAAAAGTTATTCTTTATGTAAAAAAACAAGACTTACTCTCTTTCGGACAACTGTATAAGTAGAAAATGCTACTTACCTTTGTACTTGGTGATGCTGGAATTGGAGCCCGATATTGCTGAAAAGTAAATAACAGCGTTCAATATTATTCAAACGACGCTACATCGTGTACTTCAAAGTTGACGTCAGATATTTAAAGCGTGAGCTGAAGAATCTCTCGAGTCGCGTGGATCATCGGAAAGAGGACGGCTCGATAAGGCCCGGCGGCAGTAGCTAAGAAATAACGAGGTGAGCAATAACGCGCGATAGTCTTTTCAAGTCACACTTCCTAACTCGCGACTTTGTTTATACGCTGCCCTAACTCGCGGAGGTTTCTGACTCCTTGTTATCTTTCACTTTACGGGTGTAAACAATTTCCACGGGTCGCAAGTACGCTTCGTCTATTTTTAGGATCCGGGCGATTCGCGCACTTTAGCGAATATTACTCGCCGACTCTAAGTACAGCGCGAAATGTTTGAAGTACGTCCCGACAAACTTCTCCCGTGATTCCGAATCGAGATCTTCGTCCTCTCGCGCCACACGGCCGCCAGAGAATATATTTTTGCGAAATATTGTTTTATTCATAAGCGCGCAGGCGCTTTTTAAGAATATAAGGTCTTGGCCTTGCCTCGCGCCCCCGGGATTTCAGTCTCTATCTCGGTAAAAATTCCAACTATTTTAACGCAGCTGCTGCTTAATAAGCTGCAGCCAGCACGCGAGTGCAGCCACACGGCGCCGCTGTTTTGTCGAATCCGAAGTACGCCTCGCGAAGTATCCCGCATAACGGCGTACAATGCAATTTTACTCCACAATTTATTCCACGGAATTCCCTGGCGCGGCGCGATGTATTAGTTCTACGAGACAACGGCTATTACGCGAGGTCGTTAATATACGGTGCAGCGAGAAAAAAATTTCAAAGCCGAGATGCCATAGTTATATACTTACGATAGACCTTAATGCTGCCGTCAGTGTCGCCCAACGAGTTCCTGGACACACATTTATACGAGCCGTAATCCGTCGGACTGACGGAGTTTATCGTCAGCCTCATGTGTATTTTGTACGCGTTATCTTTCAGCACTGGATCGTATTTTCCTCCTGCAAACAGATCGCAATCCCGAGTCAGTAATACGCTGTGCAGTTTTTATTTGTCGTGTTTTTTTTTTCATTTTTCATTATCGTTAGAATAAATGATGCCCGCGGTAGTCGCGCCGGATTACGTCGATCGAGTTAAAGCGATATATATATATATATATATATCTTCTCTTTTCTCTCTCTCTCTCTCTCTCTCTTTCTAAAAATAAAAAAAAATAAAAAAAAAGAAATGATATGTATGCGTAGACATTATATCTACGCTCTTTGTCCCAATTCCAGAAAAAAATCACGCTTAAATCAACTAGACGCGCCAGCGCGCATACCGAAATAAAAAAAAAATTAAAACAAAAAATAACAACAAAAAAAAAACATTCGCTTTCCCGTCATGTGCTGTCAGTCACCGTTTGCCCGGGGTTACCTGTCATTCCCTTGACGTGATTTACTCTTTCGGGTGGAGCTTGAAAATAGAAGTACGACAGGATCGCGGGTATTTTTATCGGAATATGCGGCGGTAATCGAAGGCTTTTAAATAACCGTCCGTCCTTCGCGCGCATCCATGGTATGTGGGTCAACTGGCGTGGTGACAATACGCGAAAAATCTCATAGAAATAATTCAACTGACGGGGTACGCCTTTGGGACAATAGCGACGGTCGGATGGGAAAATCGGAATTCAACGAAGAGGCCTATTTCCTAATTATTTCCTGCCTCGAGAAGTCGATCGAGCGATTTAATAAGTGGCGGGTGCGATCTATTTGGACGACAGCCGTGTCTCGTGAAACTTTTTCTCTTCGTCCCGTGATTGATTTTACGGACGTGAGTTTTTCGATACTCCCCGCCCCCCGTCATGAAAGTTTAAGCAGTACAATGTAACAAAACGTGTGGACAAAACATACGTTTTCCGTTACACATAATTAAATTTCTTTATCGTCGTGAAAGATTGATGTGGGATTTCGTTCGCGAGTTTCGAGAATTATTGTCCACTTGTTTCTTGTTCGAGAATAAACGTGACTATAAATTTTAAATTGACTTTGCGGACATGTACGAGATCCACGGGATGAAAACAGATCGAAAATCACTAATGCTTTTTTTATCGAAATGATGCGCCGCAAAGCGATTATCCGATAATTTTGCAAATATCTATTCTCCTATGATCTCCATTCGCAATATGCAATTTGTCAATTTACGATTCTCATCAAATCCCATAAACGTGGTCGTAATAACATGAAATTGTGAATATCAACATTTGCGATCACGGAAAGCGCATTATTCGTTCCGAATCCATTCGAAGACGAATCCAAAGTACGTTTCAGTTCAACGATTGTATCTCTTTTATTGTTCTGTTTTGCATTCCGTGCTGACGCCTTTCGCGCGACATCACGCCCGGAAAACGCCGTTTGTGATCTTCTTCTGGACCGAGAACCGGAAGCGCCGTTGAATGGCGCCGTTCGAAACCGAAATCACGTTAACTTAAGACCGCCGCGCGTCGAATATCGAAATAGTCGCGACGCGACGTACCGGCGTACCATCTTCCGGACTGATTGAACTATTGTGACGTTACCTTCGACAGCCATGAGTATTCGCAGACGACTGTCGAATCTGAACGGGCCGTTTCCGAACCGAAATCGAACGCCATTTATTACGAACGCCGATCGGCAGCCGGGCGATTTGCCAACCGTTTTGATAAAACGTACGATCTTAGATGCTCGGATCGATTATGCGAGTTGTGTCACACGAGGCAAATGCGAGGCATAGAAATCGTCTTGACCCTCGGCGGCGACGACTTGAAATTGTAGCTTCGAATTCAAAGACGATTTCCGGCATTTTGAATGGTATATAGACGCGTGCGGTATTATCGAATGACTCGTTCGAGATATTGAAAAGCGAAAAGTATAAGAAAAATTCGAAAATGTCTGTCGCGAGGATATCTTGGAAAGGATGATGACTCGCACAGTTAGAAAATTTATGTTAAATTTGACACATTTCATGTATCTTAAACTTTGTATTAATTCAACACAACATAAATATAGATGTTTTCTCTTTAGGAAACACAGTTGATATAAACGTCGTTCTATCCCTCTAAGTATACAATGAATGATAACGACTGAATGAGTGAATGACATTAATTGTGTGTGTGTGTCGATTGTAATTCCTAAAAGTGTAAAACAGTCTATATTAGAAAGTAACATAAATATTATTTAAAATATTATGTAAAAGTTAATATAATAAATTAACATAAAAATGTAATACTGAAACAATTTCTATACAGTTGAAAAATTTGTGTTAAATTTAACACGTTTTACATGTCCCGAATTTTTGTATTAATTTAACACAAGATAAACATGTTAGAAAATAATACAAATATTATGCAAAAAAATTAACACAAAAAAACATTGATACATTTTATAAGCAATAATATGTCTTTATTAAAATTAACATTGTAATATGTTAAATTAATATGTTTCAATAAACTTAACATTTATATAACATTATATTAACATATTTTATTCATCATATTCATATTTTATCATAGAATTTATGTTTTAAAAAATATTAGTTTGATATCAATTGGTCATTTATTCATAAAATGTGTTAACACAGTAGTGTGATAACACTACTGTGTTATTTGAACACTTTCTCATGATTCTTGTATTTGACATTACTGCATATCAGTTCAATAAAATGTTCAAATAACACAATCATATTATGTTAAATTAATATTCTGATATATTAAAAATTTAACACAAAAATTTTAACAAGGACCGGTTTTAATACAAAGACAAATTTTGTTTACTATGTACATTCGATCGAAGTATATTGAATCACCATCAGTTGCTGATCAATAAAATGAAGAATTTCTGGATTATGCCAACAAACTCCTATGTACCGAGGATTTACGCAAACTGTCTGAACTGCAATTTTATCATCTCGCAAGTTAATGTTTAACATTTGGCGAATATAACGAGCAAAAGCGAAATAACGCCCTTTAATACTGCTCGAGTCAGCCGACTTTTCTACTCTTTAAGAACTCTACCAAATCGCTGCAAAGTCTTCGTGTACGAGTGCTTAAAAGGAAAAGACAAGAAACTTTCTTTTCGTGCCGTTTCATAGGTAAGAGAAAATTATTGAGATAACAAATGCTTTTGTAAAAATTGCTTGTCTCGATGTTAGAATTTGGTGATAGCTGTCAGTGTAGCGTTCCATTTCTTTCCGAGGGAAAAATTCCGTTTCTATTATACGTGCTATTGGCGTGAACGATTTAGAGGTGATTCGGTTTGTATAGGATAAAACTTGAATTATACAGAGTGAGTTGCCAGAAAATGTAGGTTATTGAAACCGCCCTGATAGAAATAGCGTTATGAATATTGGAATACTTAATGAAAATGGTTGCATTTTTATACCTAAGATATCAAGAAGTTATCGTTCCAATTTGAATTTATTGACAACAAAAATGTAACAAGGATCGAAATCGGACATTATATCCATTTATATTCTATTATATACTAACACAAAAAAGAAGATTTTAAGTATCTAAAAATTTAGATTTGAAAATAAAATTTAAAAATGATTTTAAATAAAATCGAAACAATTAGAGCATTATATTGAGAATGCTGAAATATTGATGAAATGCTGCAAAAGGTTCTAACAGACTAACTACATAATTATATTTTTGTTGTTTAAATAAAATTATTTTCAGATCTGTGTATTAGATAATACTTTTAAATACTTTAGCAAAATCATTCGTTTCCTGCATTATACTTATTCTAATTTATAGATATTATTAACTTTACGATTGTTTACTGACTTTTCTTGTTAAGAATTACAGCTGAAACATTTATTAATTTGTTATTCTTTATTCACATTTTTATGAATTTATTTGAGAATAAATGAAACTTTCACTTTTTATTATATACCATGCATTTTGTGGCTTATATCTTTCTTCATTTTCTTTCCTTATTTCCATTACATTCCATTTAAGGTATGCAAATTTGTGCGAAGCAAATTTTTTTGTACACACGTGTGAGGCGCAATTTGATTGTAAGAGAAAGATATATAAAGCGAAATGATTCACTTCCTTATTTGATTGACCAATCGTTTCTCCCTCGTGGAACACTACGGTATTTCTAGGTTTGACGTCGCCACCAAGAACTATTTCCGATCTAAACGGCCGAGTTCGACACTATCTACCGTAGCATCGATCACGGTACGTCTTGTTAAAACGCGTGAAATCGCCTCCAATCATTTTTCCAGTCACGCCATTCGTACATGCATTCCGTGTGCCCTTCCGGCTTGCGATTTATTTCTCACCCTCTGGCGCATAATCGCCAGGGCGAATATATTACCTCCGTTGTTTGCGGCGTCTCCCATCGATGTAATCTCGTGAAGAATAACTTAACGGTCCAACGACAGAAACAAACGTCAGCCCGTATTAGCTTTGATCACGTTTGCGGCTAAATAGTCGAGTGCAAAAAAAGAAGAAATGCGGGACGTGCAATCTCGTGGATTCTGACATGAGCTCGGTCAAAAGCGAGCGAGATGAAATTTTCACAATCACAGTTCGTACTATCGGTTCTGTTTATTTGAATGCTTTCAATTAGACGCAAATGGAAATTGGCCGAAGAAATGAAAGAAAACACAGGATGCACGAACGTACAATTCGCATGGAACGTTTTCGCCGCCCCGAGGCCAACACACACGGTCGACCCTTCATGCCGTAGTGCACTACACAGTAACGAATATGTAACATAAAAAAGGACAAACAAAATAGCCCTTTGGCTCTCGAAAAAATTGACAGCGATCTTCCGGGATGATTTAATCTGCAGATCCTAAAGTTTCTGTCCGGTTTTCCGTCGCGGCTGTATTGATTAATGAAACCATTTACATTTCGATGTCTGTTGATTAAATTTTTATTTGACCTTTATTTGATCTTTGATGTTCACTTGAGTAAATTATTTCATTTTAACGATAATTTTTTATTTTAGCAATTTTTTATTTGACGTATTAATTTATTCCTTATTATATTATTTTAATTATAAGTTTTTACATCAATACCAACAAACTTTCAGTTATTGTAATCTTGTTTTCTGATTTACATCGGTTTTCACTCAGCTTAACAAATATCTAGTAAACACCAATTAAAAGTAACATAACATCAACGTTATAATTTCATACTCAACAACGTAATTATTATGCACAACATGTGTATAGTACAATACCTTTACATTGTGTAAAATTATAATATCGATATTATGTTACTTATAGATGCTTATTAGGTAGTGGATGAGGCATTTCAATATTATTGGAAGTTTTTGAAGATACTTCATTTGATATCGAAAACACATAAATTCTGTAAATATCATTAAAGATGGCTGGAATAAAATCGAAATATTCGATTTTCCGATGTAATCATGAAGTAAATAGGGTAAAGCGAAGTAATTTGGAGAAGTTAATAGATAAAAGAGATTGAAGTCGTGCATAATATATGTATTCAATTAAACCTACAAAATATAAGATATTGCATTAAAATAGTTTGTATGTTTAATGGAATACACTAAGTGCAACCTCAATCTTTCGTACAATTTGAAAATTTCCGTTAATCACCTCTTTATCCTATATTCTTCACTGAAAATCTTTGCGCACTGATTATCGCGTGATTACATTCTTATTTGCCTTTTATTTTGTCTTTAATGTTTCATACTATTTAGTACGAAAAAAAAAAATCGTCCACTTTTCGTATCGCATAATTTATCGGACGCGAAGTGAATTTTATACGCGACCGTGTTTACGCGATCAAAATTTAACTTTTATCCCCCTCGTTTCGCTTTACTGCTATTAATCCCATTACTATTGATCAGCGCACGCTCAGCAATGCATAAAGAACGATATCTTTAAATTCTCCTATGAATGAAATCCTTTAATGCCATTTTATCCATGAATCTAATCTAGAAGTTAATTCCTTAAATGAGTTTCTACCGGAGAAACACGGCGCTGCTTTTAATTTACACGGCGGTTCGGCCCTGTATATCTTCGAAATAGATACAGGAGGAAGGAAGGGGGGGGGGGAAGGAATATGGCGATTACAAGAGGCAATCTAGTTTTTAATACCGTTAGATTTATTTATTTAAGCAGTATCAGCCGCGTGCGCGCGAACATCTCGCGCGGCTCCTTCTTTCGGGTCGTTTATTCGACCGGAATTAGCCTCTGAATAATGCATGCGAATCCCGGTAGCACGTTAAAGGTATAACACGATTTTATCTGGTATTTATGAGGAAGGCTAAGGACGCGACGAGTGTGCATAAACGCCAAACATGGCTGAGATCGCCCTTTTCTGCGCCGACCGTTATTACATCACCTCCGTGGTTAGCATTTGCATCTGTATCGAACGCAATAATGTTGCGCACAATGTGAGTTTTGACCCCTCTCCCCCATCCCTAACCCTCTCCACCGGTCGTGTTAACACATAAATCCCGCGTCCGAAGATTTCTGTCAGCTGTTTAAATGGAAGCTGGAAAGCCATAAGCATATCTCATATACCTACAATAATGCAGGATAATTATGTTACCTGCAGAGTTTACAACGTAATTTTCCGCACATGCACGATAAAAAACATTTTGTATTTAGATTAAAATCCATTACTATTAAAATTTTTGTTGAATTTCAAAACATTCGATTGATTAATTACAAATATGTGATTGTGTTATTTAAACATTTTATGTTAAACTGGTATTCAATTATAATATATTCTTTAAAATAACACAATTTATAGTTCAGTGTACAGTAAACATAAAAATACTATATTTTTATGTTTAAAATGTCATTCTAAAATAACTAAATAAATGAATAAATTTTAAAATAAGTGTGAAACAGGTTAAATATATAAATTTTAATTTTACTGTGAACTGTATTAATTTAGAATATCGTTTCTTTTGAAAGTGACACAATTAAAAAAATGTGATATTCGAGTTAAAATATAATCAAAAAATTTGAATTAAAAATACATTTCACGAGTCCCAAATGATTCACTTAAATTTTTGTGTTAATTTAACATAAGAAGATAAATAAAAAGTAACATAAATGTAAAAAATTGAACACAAAAAGTATTACTAATAATTTGTACATAAACCGTGGAAGCATATTTTTCAGTAAAATTAACATTTATGATATATTAAATCAACACATATTTTAATCATTCATCTCAGAATATAAATTTCAAAGTATATTATTTTCAATCGTGGGTAAAGTGATTTTTCACAATAAGTTATTTACAAGTTTTTATGATGTTAGTAGCGTTATTATTAAATCTATTAATTTAGATTATTAGATGAAATAATAATTGAGATTATTATTTCAATTTATGTATATGTTAGGTTTTTCAAGTCCGACAAACCGAATTGCGCAATGCAGTCTATAAAACTGCTCTTTTTTATTTGTCTTTATATTCGCATATGAATTATTAAGCATCAAGACCCGCTTTGACAGAAATCTCCTCTCTCTCTTTCTTATTTGTATTTAAACGCTTCTCAGTCTATTTTATTTTAATATATATTATTTTTATACATTTTTAATTCAACTCATCAATTTCTTTTGACATGTCTTGACCCGTTTCTCGGTATAGTTCGGGCATTTAAAAGCGAAATAAATTGTATAAAACATCTGCAATAATATCTCGTATTTGAATCCGCATAAATTAATTCTTTAAACGATTGTTATCTACGAAATTAATCATATTTAAATACAAATATAGAGTAATAATGTTGACAAATAATAGGATACATGAAAAAATATTATGATTTTGTAAGACGTCTGGAGAGAAGACCAGCGATCGAGATGGGAGAGAAAAAGTCGAGGAGTCGACACCGAAACACGTTTGATGTCAGACGCGCTCTTAAATTAGCTGTTCAGTAAAAATTGTAACATAAAATTACCGAACACTGCAAAAATTCTTTCGACTAAACCTACATTATTCCTAAAGTATTATTTTGACATTAGGGTAAAATATCAATTTAGAGAAAATATTTAAATAACTTAATCACACACTTAAATTAAAACTCGAATATGTTAAAAATCGAACACAAAATTTTAACAAAGTTAACTTGAGTTGGTGATCGTTTCCGACACAAATACAAAATATTTTCTTTCTGTGTAGATGAATGAATCAAGATAACTCTATCAATTGTTAAAAAAACTAAATTTATTTTTACAATCCATCCGTCAAATTAGCACTTTTTAAGATTTTCTAAATTTTTGAGATTTTCTAAGAAATTATAATCAAACTTTTACAAAAGTAATACATTTTAAGTTATTTTATACATTTTTTTTTTTTTTTTGACAAAAAGGACAATCTTCTACAGACAACATTTGAAATTAAAATAAAATAAATTTTAGTGATCAAAATTTAAAGAAGAAATTATTTTATTTTGAATTTTATCATTTTAGTTGATCAAGATAAATATCAATATCTATGAACTATTGATAATACTTCAAGTTCATTATTTGTATCACTTTTGATAAATTATTCTGGATTTGTTATAATTTTGTAAGATATCGAAATTAAAAAAAGATATTTTTTTTTTAAGAATTGTGCAATAAAAATAACAAAAATGACATTTGATTATATTTCAGAAAATATGTTTTTTGTGCGTCGATATTATTTAATTAGTCAATAATTTTTTTATTAAGTTGAATAATATAGTTTTTGAAAAATTTAATTTTTTTACTTATCACTTTTGAAGTAAGGGAATGATATTACAAGTCTGTTAACTTAAAAAATAAGTATTCTTTCATACCTTGCTTTTATAAATTATATCACTGTTATATTTTTTACATTAACTTTTAAATAAAATTGTTATTACTTTTTAATATATTTTTCTTGTGTTAAATTAACACAAAAAATTGGATAGACATGCAATTCGGGATAAAATTTAGCATATATATTTATCTTGTATTTAATTTCGTACAAATTTGCCTGTATACCAAACACGCAATAACGAAGAATAAAGTTACAAAAGACATGTAGAGAATATAAGAATTATAATACTTATAGTTAATTTTCATTATTATGCGTTTTGTCTCTTAACTGTTGAATGCGTGGCGACTATTGCTCATATTCTATAATAGGGATAATTTCTCTGCCATAAAAGTGCAGCGTAATCGTGCACAGCTTCCTGCAGCGATTGAATAAGCTTGACAGGAGCCATGGAGGTTTGTATATGTACATCGTAATACGCTTCTGAAAGAGATACGGATCCGAAAGGGATCGATGCGAAGTATTGAAGCTGGCTTTTACAGGCGGTGCATAAAGCGGAGCGAAAACGTTCATACTCGCGCTTCGCTGGTGTGCGTGTTTATGCGTTCGGTATGAAGCTTTCATTATTCAGAGGGTTCGTTACAACCAGTTATTTTCCTTCCTCGCGAATGCACACTAGGCAGAGGCATACGCGTCGGGGGTGTAATTATCTCTCTTTCTCTCTCTTCCTCTCTCTCTCTCTCTCTCTCTCTCTCTCTCTCTCTTTTTTGTGAACTTACATGAATCATCAAAAAGTGCGATAGGTGCGTGTCGTGAGCGATGCATATTACAAAATTGTAAAGTCATCCCACTTTCCACCGGGTCATGATTCTTTCATGAGATGAAAGAGTCTCTCTCGCTGAACGACCGCAAACTCTCATTACGCTCAATTCTAACATCGCGTAGTAAAATATCGCGAGGTAAATTCTTGTTACGATTTACCGCTGACAGATCATGTCGTATCTAGTTTACATTTTGTCCAAGTAAATTCCCAGACAACACAAATCTAAAATCGGGACATAAGACGTCTTAAAAACATCTGAAAGACATCTTAAAGACATCTTTGCGAGAACCATTTAAAAGGCATCTTAAAGATGCTTTATTTTAAACTTTGTGTTGTTTGAATTGATGTTTATTGGAAACAAATGCTTACCTTGGGGCACAATCTTATCCTGATCTCTGGTCCAATAATTGATAGACTTCGGGAATGCTTCTGAATAGCATTCCAGAATCAACTTCTGTCCTTCTTGAGCGCCGACTAATTGATTCTGAACCCAGATCATCGGTGGAACTGAAACAATGACGATGGCGTGTACACAACTTTTAAATTTTAAAATACAATATTTTTCTTTCACAAACGCTTGATTACAATTGCATAACTCTTTTTTAATAGCTACTCCTTATTGTATAGCTTTGTGAATATGAAATGTCATTTCTCATGTTTATTTCATATTCCTTCTTTTTTTTCATATTTCTAGCAGTTAAATAAATTATCGATACTTGCTATTTTAACACTACAATTAATTATTCATATTTTATTATAATAATTTATGATAATAATTTGCGTCCAAAAAACAATGTCTCGTAATACAATGTAATTTAAAATTGATTACATTGACCGAATTAAAAAATACAACACACAAAGAACGAACGTACGTACAATGCACAGTGAGCATTATTCTTTTGCTGACAGAGGGGGGTACGCCATTGGATGCGATACATAAATAGGAACCCATATGTAGTCGGTTCACTTTTGTGATATTGAAGCTCGGACCGTCCACGCTCGCAACTGGAATTAGAAGAATTAATTATAATAAAAGCGCTGTAAAATTTTAAAAGAAAATTTAAACTAATTCTTTTTAAATTTAAGTCAATTCTTTAAGTTAAATAATATTTTATATATTTTAACTTCCAAGTGTGTCCAAATATATTATTTTAATACGAAACATATGATTGAAAAGACAACATCTATCAATCCATTTCCGTGATTAGATTGCTTTCTAACTTTTCAAAGTAAGTAGCGTTCATATTTTAACGTATGCATTTAATAAATAATAAATCACGTAAAATTATCACATTTTTTTAGTTAAATTAGGGATATATTGAGTACAGGAGTAATGGACTTATAGAAATGATTAAAAACAAATTAATTTGAATATAATTTGACATTACAAATTTAGTGTAGAGAAATATAAGAAATGTGTGAAATATAGACATTTAGATCATCCAAT